TCCAGTATTTAAGGGGACTAATGTCCTCCAGTATTTAAGGGGACTAATGTCTTCCAGTCAAGAGATCTGCAGATGAAGGAAAATAAGAGATGTTGTGAACAAACCCTGCAGTTTTCATCTGACACCAGAGTAGAAGAGCATCTTTAGCAGACTTCTTCTCCTTGTTGTCCTCCGTCTCCACACTGATGTCCTGAATCTGAGACACACACACACGTAAAAACATGTTAAAAACAATCAGACGTGTTTTTGAGTTCTCACACTTGACAAAACTGAAACTATAGCGTTGTTGGTTTTAAAACAAACACAAGTGAACTTTCCATGAAGCTCAAGCCATTCTTTTCTAAGTTCAGATGAAAAAAAAAAAAAAAGAGTTGAGAGATTTTTCTGTGAAACGTCCTGTTTGATAGATGGAAACCAGTCACATAATCCTAAACCTTCTGACACCAACATGTCTATCTACAGGTCTAAACTGTCACGATCAGGTACTGAATTAGAAGTAGCTTAATTAACACATTTCAACAACAAATGCTGTCCATCTGTTTTTTGTTTCATCTTCTCTGAGGTCATGAAGATGGTAACATGAACTGCACTTATATAGATAGATATATATAGATATATAGATATAGAATGAAGACACTCAAAGCGCTTTACAACACAATGTGTGCCTCATTTACCCATTCATACATCACTCTACTAGATCTGTACAAAACAAATTGAACAAATAATTCTAAAGAGAATAATCAGAGCTTTATCACATTCATACACCAATGGGACACACATCGGAGGCAATGAGGAGTTCAGTGTCTTGTCCAGGGACACTTTGGCATGTGACTGCTGGTGGATTTGAACGCCCAACTCAAGTATTGAAGACGACTGCTCTAACCACTCAGCCACAGCCGCCCGACAAGAGGAAGACAACAGAAGCAGGTCCTCCCGAAGTATCCCAAGATGATACCAGGCCAGAGGGGATGTTTATTCAAATTTAATTCAAATTCAATTCAAACATACTTTATTAATCCCAGAGGGAAATTAACTTATCCTTCCAGAGTTCTGGGTATGTGTCCTAATCAGATACTGAACCACCTCAGAGAGTTCTTTCGATGAGGAGAAGCAGCTAAACGCCAAGCTCCCCCTCAATGAAGGATCTTGTCACCTTCTCTCCAAGGTTGAGTCTAACCACCCACCTTACAGAAGAAGCTAATTTCAGCTGGTATTTCCCAGGCTCCTCACCTCATGCTCACAGGTGAGGACTGGAACCAAGAAGCAGCAGTGAATTAAGAGCTTTGCCTTTCTGTTCAGCCCCATCGTCACCACAACAGACCAGGGCAACGTCTTCATTACTGAAGACGAGCCACCAGTTAATCAATTCATCTTCATCCACTGTACATCACTCATGATGATAACCCTCAAACACTTGAGGCAAAGACATTTTTCCAACCAAGATGAAGTCCACATTGTCTTAAACATTCAGCGTTTCTACTGAAAATCTTGTCATATCAAAAAACAGTATTTGTTTTAAAATCTGTTCACACTTTCAAAAATATTCAAATTTTCCAAGTAGTTTCCTCAGTTTCCAAAAATATTAGCACTTTTCAACCATGTCTACAGCTTCTACAGAAAATGTCAACATTGTGTATCAGTTTCTACACAAGTTATACATATATATATACACACATATATACATATATATATACACACATATATACATATATATATACACACATATATACATATATATATATACACACATATA